TCTTTGATGATCTCGGGTACTACAGAGAGCACAACGTCGGTAATTTCCATAAACCGGCATATGTAAAGACTGATCCCATCTTTTTTCAAGTGGTACTGTTGGCTTGTAGTAATTCACATTTTTCTGTTCCAAACTTGCTCTTCCCTTTTTCACTGTTTCCTTTCCAGCTCCTACCAATCCTGTCACTACAGCCAAACGAAACGCCTTTAGATTCATGCCTCTATTGTTTCCACATCGTTGCTGAAAAATTATAAACGCATTGACTACGCTGACATCAATAAATTGACAAAATATTCGCGGCCACCATTTTTTACTCTTTCTATCAATTTGGTATGTTTTCTTCAGCATATCGGCTTTGTCGACAAAACCCATGTTTTGATTATAATTTTTCAAGACTTTAGGGCACGGAACATTCTCCATTTCACCATTCTTCTTTCTCCTTACTACATGGTCAGTGTCAGACGGATTTTCATAATTGGAACCTAACAGAACTATTCTCTTGTCCATCCATTTGACGCAGGAAATTCCATCATCAGTTACTCGCCAATCAAAATCGCCACGTTTGAGTTCTTTATCGGTTTTAAAATCATCTGGAATTCCTTTTCTCTTTTTTCTAATAGTTCCTGTCGCGTGAATATTCTCCTTCTGCAACTGTTTCAGTAGTACCAAGGATGTAAAATAATTATCGAAATATACAAAATAATATTTTCCAACTAAAGATCTGGTCAAATCTGTAATTACTCGAGGTCCTAATTCTTTCTCTGCAGTCTCGTTAACTTTTCCCGTATATATTTGAAATTCGTCTATGTAGCCATGTACATCTGCCCTAGTCCAAACCTTGTACTCCCATTTTATTGGCTTGTTAGGCATATATTGGCGGATTGAAGAACGACCTTTGAAGCAAATCATAGATTCATCTATTGATATTGTTTCATGTATTTTATAGAAGAAACTAAATGTATGTAATAATGAATTTAAAAATGGACGCAACTTATATAGTTTTTTCATAATTAGGATGTCCACGGGCTGGCTGAAGAGTATTATCATTCAAATGAAAGTTTCCTAAAAGCCAATCGAATCGAGTACGACTCACTAGATTTGATATATAAGAATCCCTCAGCTCCATTTGAGCTGACCAGAAATCCCGATAGCTAGGAAGTCTTTTCACGCCCATCAAAATATTTATGGCCAAAAATATTTTTATTTCTCTCGTAGTTGTTGGGACAAATGTTTTTCCACGTTGGGTAGCGTAAAGATTCGTTTGAAAAACGATATGTTCGATAATTTGTTCGTTCAAGAGACAACAAAAAATATCAACTGGTGATTCAACTTCATCGGGTATGTTAGCAGGTCCGACACTTTCTGAAAAAACATTCTCTTGCCTGTCCGTATTCGTAACCATTAGAGGTTTTTTCCAAATAAATTTATTCATTGGTACAAAATGAGATAATGGAAGATCGTCTTCTTCATTCTCAGAATCTGATAAATTTTGAATAGGCGCAGCAGTAAATTCATCTATATCGCACTCGATATCCATGGAAGGAGTGTCTTATACGTCCTCTTCATCGTCAAACTCGTCAATTGATTCTCCATCAGAAGGAATTTCTGTTAATAATACATCTACCTCGCTTTCTGTTAATTTTGCTAAATCGTCATATTTCCAAACATTTCTTTCTATCAAATAAAAAAATATGATTTACAAATTCGTTCATGCGTAGTGGTATATTTGAAATACCACAGAAATATAACGATCAGAAGCAATATTTTTATGTAAACATATACAATTATGATATATTTGCATGCTAATGAATTGCTAGAACAATATCTATAGGAACTTACTTGCCATTTTCCTTGTTTATTATTGTTTCATGCCGACCACTAAAATTTCACGTTTGTTTACGAGAACGGTTAGAAATATATCAACTGTAGGCATCTGTGGCAAGGTATCCAAGTTTTTTCCGCTTTATAAGAGAGGGCGCAAGTGAAATAAGTAAATAAATCGATGATACGCACAATGAACCACAAAGCAGAATCGAGAAAAAATTTGATACATGTGGTATATGTGGTATACCATTAAGCGCGAAAGGGTTAAACAAACTTTTTTTAAACAAATTGTAAAAATTGGTTTTTTCACTTCGAAAAATTTAGGTTAGGTTTTTTGGCACATTATAAACAAAAAAGTTCCAATGCACAATGCCTTTAAAATTGATAAATCTAAAGTTATAAACAACTTAAGTTGCTAAAAATGTGAAAATGACGATTTTCAACGGCCGATTTCCGGGTTAAAAATTATTATTTTTGACGTTGCCACGTACCTAAATTAAAGTTTAAACATCCCTCTACATACAGGGGTGTCCAACTTGCAAGGCCTCAAGGGCCAAAACTAAGACCTTTGATGTGGTTGCGGGCCATATAATAATTTTGTTAAAGTAATAACAAAATAACGTGAGGTATAAAAATAATTAAAACAAAAAAGGAGTATTATTTCTTTTATTGCTCAACAACTACATTTTTTTAGATAAATGGAAAATTTATACATAATTTTGTTCAAGAACTAAGACAAACATTGCAATAATAATGAAAAGTTGTATCTAATGTGAAGACTGTGGTCGATCTGCTTCATCCACCAATGAAGAAATGTCCACCTCCAGTTCAGTTGTAGACAGTTTCATGAGATGACGTAAGGAAGAATCGGTAAGGTTGCTTCTGTTGTGGTTTTTAATGTATTTCATGGAGAAAAGGCACTTTCACATGTATATGTGCTTCCGAACATTGATGTCATTTTCAGTCCAAAATCTCGCAATTTGAAAAATTCAGGTCCGTTTTCTTGTCTGGTGATTAGGAACATGTCAGCTTGAAGATCACATAACTCAAGTTGTAAGTCGGGTAGTTGATCTTCAATGATTGCTCCAAGAGGATGATTATAAAGCAGTACACTGCTTTTAAGACTTTCAATTTCTTCAAATCTTGTATTGAATTCATCAATAACTTGTTGAATTTGTGAACTGCAGCATGAAAACTCAATATTTTCCTCACTATTGAATTCTTCTGCTAGTTGCAGACAGCTAGGGAAGTGTGTCAGGTTGTTCTTTTCCAAAGCATGTTTAAACACGTTCGGCTTATTCCGGAATCCGTTTATTTTTCCGATCAAATCTGAAACCGTCTGGTTTCTTCCTTGAAGACTCAAGTTTAAACTGTTAAGATGATTAGTCAGATCTGTTATAAAAGCTAACTGTCTTAAGAATTCTGGATCCTTAAATTTCTCTTCCAGTTCAGTTGTGTTAGATGAAACGTATTCATTGAGGAATGCAGAGATTTCCTTTCTTATGGCAAAAAATCGTTTCATGCACTTTCCTGCACTCAGCCACCTTACATGGTTGTACAGCAAGTCTCTATACTCAGCCTCTGTTTCCACTAAAAACTGCCTAAGTTGCCTGTGTGGAAGGGATCGATTTCCACCTCTAATCATATTTATAATCTTAATCACGGTTTGAAAAACTTGATCTTGCTTGACTGATTTTCCACATAAAACTCCCTGATGTATAATACAATGGATTGTCGGACAAGTAACACAGCACAATGGCAGCATTTAAAGAAAATATATGCTTTTCGTAAAACATTACGCGGGCCACAACTAATAGCATCGCGGGCCGCCAGTTGGACAACCCTGCCTACAAGATGCTGAAGAGTTTTGGGAGTCGCATTATTCTAAAGCCTTGTTTTTTAATTGCTAATAAAGCGCTATGAGCCGCGCGCGCGCCTTTCTCATACGCGTATTCGCTATTTCGTCTAGCGGCTTCAGCTTATCTTCTTTGAATTTAGCATTCTAAGTACTATTACTACTCATAAAATAATGTAAAAATGTATTATTTAAATTTCATAATTCATAATAATTTTATGTAATTAATTAAAAAAAAATAAAAGGGCAATAGTATCAAATACACTTGATTTGTATTAAAGAACATTTATTTAATACTGCATATTGTTATTATCACATTTATTCAATAATAAGAATTCCCACACTGTTCTATGTTACAACCACATAAAGGTACTCAAGTGACATAGTTTTTCCTACAAGAACAAGCCAATTCTTAGTTTTTTGTACATTGTTTAACTAAGTAATGGATCTGTGGTAATAAATTTAGGTAATAATTCACCTGTTTCATTTTGATAACCAAAAGCTGTGAAATCCAGATATTGATATTGAGGAAAAATGGAACTTTTCCATATGTACGTTTATAAAGAAGCCCATAGCGCATTATTTACAATTAAAAAACAAGTCTTTAAAATAATGAGAGTCTCAAAAACTCTTCAGTATCTTCAGTATCTATATTTAAACTTTTATTTAGGTACCTGGCAACATCAAAAATAACAATTTTTAACCTGGAAATCGGCCGTTGAAAATCGTCATTTTCGCATTTTTAGCAACTTAAATTTTAGAGACATAGTGCATAGGAACTTTTTTGTTTATAATGTGCCAATTTTTTTTTTCCATTTTAATCATGATTTTAATGTGTTTAAGCTCAAAACACGTGACCCTTTAATTTTTCTCAAAAGTTTGACTGTTTGAAACAAAGAAACGGTTGGCTAGATCGAGATGAAACTTCACAGAGTTCTTCTGTGTATATCCAACTGTAAGTCATGCTTAAATTAGTCATTTCGTGAATATTTCTAATTAAGCCGTCAATTTTCTAAATAAACATAAACTACAATTTTTTCCTGTTTTTTAAATTTGTGTAAAAGATGAAACAAATATATTTTTTGTCGCCGAGATATCGATAATTGAAGACAAAAGGATGCTTTTCCATTAAAAGTCCGATATTTCGACGAAATTAAAAAAAAAGGAGATTGAAGCTGAATAAACAAGCTATCTGGTCCGTGGACTCAGTCGCGCTATTTCTTAGAATTGGATTATAACCGTAGCTCCTAAAAATTTTCGACCGAGAGATCTAAAAACTAGATTCTTTAGAGCCTCAAAATGCTTTTTTTTTATTCCCGATACGACCATTTTTCACCTAAATACATACAGACTGTCAAAAATCATGGAAAAATTTCGGAAATTCTTTTTCTCTTATAACAAATCTTTATAATTAACTTAATTTATTAATTAAATTATTATTATGTTATGTATGTTATGTACAGCCCATAACCATTAAATTTAACAATTTACGGACTAATAAAAAAATGAATATTTTTGTTATCGATGATTTATAGTTTCTGGTTTTGAGGGCGTCAAAGATAAATAAAATTTTAGGCATTATCTCTCCTAAAAAACAACATAGTGTACTGAAAATCGGTAAAGCTGGTTGCGAAGATTGTTAAATGCATTAGGACAGTTAGTTTTTGATCATTCCCTAGAGATCCTCACGTATGACCTTTTATGACAAAACTTTTTCGAGGTTAGATTTGTACGGTGTATGTACACCACATACATTATAATGTACCTAAAGTTTAATTTTCTCTACAAATGGCGCTCTTGTTGAAATCCTTCAAATATTGAACATGAAAAATGAACATTATTTATCGAACAATTACTAAAAATCAACCAACATTTAACAACCAGAATGCAAGAAGAAGATGAGACCTGAAACTTCCAATACAGTCAAGTTTCTTCATGATAACCTGCACATACAATTATTTTAACAAAAACTAACCAGTGACATCGGAAGTAGAAGAGATGTCAATGATTTCCATAGTCAAAGAAAGTTAATTGAATCCAAAAATCATGACCAACTAGGTATAAAAAGACAGTACCTACAGGTGAAAACTAAAATAATTATAAATTTTGCACAAAGATATTTAGATTAGTGAATTCAGCATTTCCATAATTATGTGTAGTGTATTTAGGTATAGCTTGGGAAACGACTAAAGATACTTAAATTCTGAAGAAGTGTTTATTTTTTATCGCTGTTGGTCAAATGCAGGATAAAAAAAGTTTGTTATATATTCACATATATTTGATTTCTCTCAGAAACATAGTTTTGTTTTGATGACACTGGAATGAAATTTCAGTTGCAAGATTCTTTTTTATTAAGTTTGATACTCGATATACGAAAAATGGATTGAATTATCAGTAAAACGTTTATCCGAACTTTTTGTCAAAATGAACATATGTAGAATTATTTCAGGAATTATTTTAGCAAAAAATGTGATTCTTTTTTTATTTGTTTGCTTTGGGGACATAAATCAGCCATGAAAGTTTATCTTGTAACGTCACTATTATACCCTGTATAATTGGTTCCAAACAAAGGGTTCTATAAATATATATAGGTGTTATTGTTTTCAGTTTTAATCTATAAATATTAGTTATTCTTTAGTGCAATTAATAAAATATTACACATTCTTTCTTTAGTCATTTTTCCAATTTCGAACGCGCTGGATATACCTATTTTTATAACACTGCTCGTTGATTTCCAATCGTTTTATTCAAGAAACTCTTACGAAAAATAGCATTAGTCATAATTTGTGACAGTTTGTTCAATAGAGAAATTTTTTAACAGCTGTAAAGACAAAAATACACAATCAGTTCTATTATATAAAAAAAAATTAATTAAAAAAAGTTGAAGTCAAAGAAAATTCTCCAAATAATGTAATGAACTTATTGAAAGTATCATAATATTTAGTAGCGTTACTGCATTTAGAGGGACTGATAATTGAAAAGACTAGTTTCTAAGAAATGTGGCGATTTATGTTAATAATAAATTAGAAATTTTCTAATTGCCCCTAAAAACCCATTAAGATACAAATATCAATCTTAACTTGCATTGTGACAACAATTAAAGCTTTTTACTCTTGTGATTTACTTAATTTAAATTCTAAATGCTTTTTAAAAGTCAAACAAAAGGCAAATTATTTCCAGGTTACACCTATGAAACGAAAAACGCGAGATAATAGTGTAGCGTACTACAATACGACGCGTGGTGTAACAATAAACCAAAAATAATATTGTGACAACGATCTGTGTCATAGATTCGTAACTGTTCATCGCCGTGCAACAATATTTTCATTGGTAAAGCGATTATGTGTTGCGATTTATGCGATAGAAATCTAATCTTGTATTTATTACAAACATCAATTACATTCCCACGTCGTTTTTGTAAAAATGTTATGTGTAGCTCTCGGCAATGTCGTAACACTGTAACGATGTACAGCGTTAATTGATGATATGCTGTTTATAACGCGACATTTGAAGAACATGTATTTTTTAATCGTCGTATCTATTTTTATTTTAATATACCCAATGCATCTTTGCAGTTACTCGATGTTGGCTGGTACGATCTTACAATCGAAACGTAAACTTTTTCCCATCCGGGATTTTTACATTACGATCTTTTTCGGTAGTGTAAATTTTCTTTTTCAGGAAGGGTGCAGTGTTGTCTTCATAGTCGAGTATAAGGGGTATCTTCACCTAAACCATAAAGTCATCCCTTGTATCATTTTAGTGTTGTCATATTGGCTACGAGTAAAATAGGCAACAAATGGAATTATTTTATAAACCATTTTGCATTTATTTCTATTTAAATGCATCCATGCTAATTTAGCAGTAATTTAGCAATTTGAACACTTGTTGTGTATATATTGTATATGATGGAATAGAATGAAATAACTATGGAAAAAAATTGCGATGTTTTCACGTTTCTTATCACATGAAGAAGGAAGAAACATTTGAAAAAAAATATTTCACTGATTTTTCATTATGCGTACAACCCCTTTTGACGTGTTCGCGTACTTCAAAACCACAAACAACCATGTTAGGTATACTAATATAGGCAACGCGCACGCAGCCACCGATCCGGTGATCAACAATATCGCGGTGGGAAGTTGTAAGGAGCGTCGGGGGGCAGGGTCGCAGGCAAATAATTATTAGTAAGGCTGCAGGAGGAACGTGCTAGATAAAGCAATTAAGTAATTGATAAACAACCCCTTCTGGAAAGCGGCGCGAAGAGCATGCCGTGGCGCAGCGCACAGGACCGTACTGGCACAGATTAGTAATCTGTGGCACTGGATTGAATTTGAGGGGCAAATCGGCCACAGGGAAATATTTGTTTATTTTTTTAATATAATGTGGAAATTATTCTTGAACCTTTAATTTTATAACGGAGATTATTTATCTCCTTGGGTATCATGTTCTAGTTTGAAGGCTAGTCAAAAAATGATCAAAAACAACAGCAGTAATTTTTTTTATTAAAATCCTCCCGATCGGGAACTTTTTCAAAAGAAATTTTCAATCAAAACATATTATTTTACAAAATCAGTAACTAAAAACCTGAAAATATAAAACTACTTAATAAAATTCACAATTTAGCATGCAAAAAATTACTATTTTTTACAATAATTTTTGTTAATACATACCTAGACAACCAATTCTACATATAATATAAAAAAACACAAAAACAAATAATTTAAAATCACAGCTGCATCAGCTTTTTTTTTAATTTTATTTTAATTTTAAAGTTGATATGCTTCACA